TGATGCACTCGCTTCCAGTTTGAGTTGAAGGCAGTAAGCACCTCAACAAGTTGGCAGTCTCAGCCAGCAAAGACTTAGAATTCATTCCAATCCTAAATAAATTCAAACCCTCCACAGATGCCAAGTTTGGGGTTTCTCTGTATAATAGGCATAGATGTGTAGTATACAGAGACAAGCACAGTATGACGAATAACACAAGCAAGTTACAAGCATTGGCAAAAGTGTGCAGTTTAGCACACTATCAATTACCACACAATTCAAACAGAAATTATGTTGTTTTATGGGTTTTTTTTAAATGAGTTACAAGTACCCTGCAGAGTCCTTGAGAACTATAGCATGTGAAAAAGCCAGTTAGCAAAATTATGAAGTTCTCCAGTTGTACAAATGATGGAAGATGCAACTGGCAACAGAATATGCATCTAACAGCAAGTTATGCCTCTTAAAAGGCCAATTAGATACATGAGTATGAGAAGGTTTTTTGTGTGTGGCTTGAGAAAACAATTCATGCTCTTGATGGAGAAGGCTGAAAAACCTTACGGAAAGACACTGCCCAAGATTTTCAAACTGACCAGTGACTTGGGTGTCAGACTTAGACACCTGGTTTTCACTAAGCAGATATTCATAAATCTAAGAGCGAAGTCCCTTAAATTACTAAGTGAAACTGCCAAAAATTATGTCATTTTTTAAAATCATAATTAATCAGACCCCATCGTCTTAATTCAATGGGAACACAAAGGCATTAATGACACTGGGAACACAAAGGCATCAGTCCTCCAGCCCCCTCCCCACTCGCCGCCTCCGTGTGGAACCTGGCCTGCAGCCCTGATCTATTGTATATATAAAAGCATCTGGTGTTTAAGTCAATAACATTTTCAGATCACAATATTCACACACAAAATATCATGAGCTTTTATAAGAACAAGCAGAAATTACCTGTACGATCCATCTACATTTCTCCTCCCTACACATGCACTATATATTAAGCCATTTTAATGTATTCCTTGATAGAAATACAGAGACCGAGGAGATCATTTTCCATGTTTGACCCGCGCTCCAAGGACACCTTTAAAGATGGATTCTTCCCAATACACTTTACAAACACAAACTAAGTCTGGTAACATGCTTATGAAGTGACAGTTTTCCAGATAAGAAAATCAAAGCATAGAGAGCTTAAGTCACTTTGTTCAAGGTCACACACAGATAATCCAGGTCCTAATTCCTAGGCCTGTGTTTGAGCCCCAAGAACACACTTTATCTTGTACACCACACTACACCACCATTTACTTTACTCCAAACTGATCCCAAAAGGCAGACAATTTGGATAACATTCCTAGATATAGTAATACAAAGGGGCTTGAAAAACAATCCACTTGCCAAAGGTAAACAGAAGGTCCTGTTGAGTAATAGCGCTGACAAAAATTGTTTGCAGCTTTTTTTAAAAAAAAAAGTTTCTTCCTTGTGAATGCAGAAATAATCTTCCAAATCAGAAGAGGCTCTGCACCAGTACTGGAGTCTTCCTACAGACAGCAGCAGAGTGAAATTAAGACAAGACCGGTCATATTCACAACTATTCAGGTAACTATTGGAAGCAGTGAATGAATAAGGAGACTTGCATCAATGGAGATTAAGTGCTTGTCAAGTGGCAGGGGTAGTTACTGGACTTATTAGCATTAACAGAAAAACTGAGAATGTATGATATTTGGGAGAAGAAAAAAACTGATAAGATTGAGTCATAAAACTTAATTTCCAGTAGGAACTACAGCAAGGCCAAAGCCAGAATATAAAAACTCCTGACATTTCACTGGGAAGAGAGTTCAGATTTGAATCTTCATATCAACAGTTTTGGTTCTTGGTTGAACTCAAAGCCAGAAGAGTCTGGTTTGAATGCAGCACAAAATATCATGAAAATAAGCTTCAAATCCAAACCAGTTTAAATATCCTCTCATTTCTTCCAAGTAGAGCCAGGTGGCAGCAGAGCATTACATTCAGGTATTTCCTCACATCTTTGATTTAGTTATTAGAAAAACAAACACAAACTTATTTGCCAACCAACCATAAAAATAGACGATAGCAACGTAATATAGCAGATACTAACATCCACTATGAAGGACAATATGAGGTGCCCTTAAAGCCAGGAATAACGTATCCAATCATTATACAAATGTTTTGCCAAAATGATTGAAAACACACGACTGGGACACTTTAGCAACTACTGGAGTTAGGGTCTTACCATACAAGCCAAAATCAGGACGTACTCACTTCGGCTCAGTTGCTACAATTAGATCCATGCCACTGGCCCCGAATCAAGAGATTTCCGCGTGGGTGCCAGGGGCTTGCGGCAAGAATCCAGCAGCAGGATCCTTACTAACATGTGAGGGTGCATGGCTTACCCTATATACCCAGGCTAGGCTCTTCCTGCGGGCTGAGGAAGGAGAACATCCCGATAGGGATAGAAATGTAGCCGTGTTAGTCTGGTGTAGCTGAAACAAAATACAGGTCTATGTAGCACTTTAAAGACTAACGGGATGGTTTATTAGATAAGTGGGTCTGGCCCACGAAAGCTCATCATCTAATAAACCATCTTGTTAGTCTTTAACGTGCTGCATAGTCCTGTATTTTGTCCCGATAGGGGGCTTCAGTGCGCGAACAGCAACAGCTCGCTCGCTCTCCTCCAGGACAATGACTCCCCAAGGAACGAAACAACGTAACGCTCCAGCTGCGGCGCACGGCCCCCCACATACTGACACGGCCGATCGCTATGCGAGGCTGGTGCGGAGACAAGAGGGGGAGGCAGAAGGCGTCCCCTGGCCCGCAGCTTTTGCCTGACTTGTAACGGGGGCCCTGTGCACCCCGCTCGGCAACTCCCTCCCGCCCCACGTGTGCGAAACAGTCGCCCCACGGCCCTGGCCCCAGCCTGCGCTCGCCTTGCACACAACCAGCTGAACCACGGGCGGCCCGGGCTCACGCTGGGGAGCTTCGGGTGTTGCAAAGCCAGGACGCCCCCAATCATTCCTGGGGGCGTCACCCACCTTGGCCCGGGGGTAAAGCAAACACCTCCCCGCTAGGTCCCCGGGCAAAGAGCAACCCCGGTCCCAGAGCCGCCAAGGACCCGCAGCTGCCCTCCCCGGTCCAAAGCACGGAGCAGCCAGACCCCTGGAGACCCGCCACCGGGAACACAAAGGCATCGCCCCTCCAGCCGCCGCCCTCCTACCTGCTCTGCCTCCGCGCGAAGCCCGGCCCGCAGCCCTGTCGCGGATAAAGCGAACCCCGCAGCGCGAGAGTCCCCGGTCCGGCCGGCTTCTCAGCGGGTTTCTAATTGCGGGCGCTGGGCAGCGGAGGAGGCGCTTGAAAGGAGCCGCCCGGGGGTGGAGTCAGGTGGGTCGGGCAAGCCCGGGGACGAGTTGTGCCTCGGAGCGGAGGAAAAGCCTGAGCAGGGACAAGCTGCTTGGAGCGCGGCGCCTCCCCTTTCTCCTCCCACCAGTCCCGCCTGGTTACTGGGGCAAACGCTTCTTCAGCAAGGCCAGCGGAGAAGCTGGCGCAGGGGGCGGGCTGGGCAGACAGCTGGCGCTGTTGCCGCTCTTGGGGTTAAAAAGAGCAGTTCAATGAACCCAGGGGAGAACGGGCCTCACTGCAGAAGTAGCTCTCACAGCGACCAGTCCCTCTGTTTTCTTAACACACGCCAGAGGGCCGACTGCCAACTTCTCGAGGCACCAAGGGGTGTAACTGATGGGGGCTGGCCCGGGGCAACCAGCGTCAGGCTTTGACTATGTGATTGTTCCTGCAGAAATATTCCAGCCGCTTATGCCCCTTTCAGTGTTTGCAGCATGAAAGCCTTCCACGTGCAAAGACTTCATTGGCTCTCTCCTTTCACTCGCACTGTTGGTGAGAACTTAAAAGGAGAAACCATATTTACCAACCATCCTTCATTTCTGCACCAATCTGAGCAGAGATCACTAATGTATGCGAGAAGTGCTCTGCATCTTGTGCATTTTTTACAGTTGTTGGCTGATGTTGCAATTTTGTTTTGTGGGAGGAGTAATTCTTGGAATAAGTTAGATGTCTGGTGGTGAAGTACTGGATTAAAGGGGCTCTGCTCACTCGAAAGTTGCAGCAGTGTGTACATAAACTAATTTTGCAAAATGCAGTAAATGAAAGTGAGTGCAGTATGGTCATCATTATGTTAAAGACCTATGCATATCCACTACTCTAATTCTATGTTTCTTCAGCGATGGGAAAGTATTGTCAATAAGATTCAAAACCAATGTAAAGAGATTCAAGGGAATAATGCAAATCATACCATGATTTTAAGAACTCCTATTCATCTGATTATTTCAAAGCTAGCCAGCTGAGAGAGGGAATGAGTCTACCTGCTATTCCTGTCTCTTTGGTCAGATAAAGCTATTGTTCAAATAACTAGGGGCATACAGGATTCAG